CGCTAGTTTTAAGTAATGTAAAATTGTGTGTTCCAGTTAAAAGACACAATATTTGAATAATAAAATAATAGAAAAATAAATCAATTATTTATTGGTCGAAATTGGAATTGAAATTGATCGATACAATTGTTTTTCCAATGATAATATTATTAGTTAAATTTTTGTTACGAAACTTATTCCCTTTTTCCATGCGAGATGAAAAGCTGATCTTTTTCTTTTTTCTTTCTTTCTTTGTTAAATGTAATACACGTTTGATCGGTAACATTGCTCGCATAATCGCGATACGCACGTTAAGAAGGATGTACGAGTTAACTTAGCTCGTTGCATTAACCGAGATGAACTCATTCCGCTTATTTCTTCTCCCATCTCTCTCTCTCTCTCTCTTCTCTCTCTCTCTCTCGTACTCTTTCTGTCTATCTTTTTCCCCCCCTCTCTTTCTCTCTCTCTCTATCTATCCGTCCCCACTTCATTTCTTCTCCTCGATTCGCCCTCGTGCTCCTATAATTCTTGTTCGGTCCATACTACGAATAGCTTTGAGAAGTCTCGGCCGCCCACTATCTTCCCTTTCCATTTACCTTTTTCTTCATCGACTTAACGTACCTCGAAAATCGTATCCTGAGATACGAGATGTTTACTAAAAACTTTTCCTATTTTAATTCAACCGAATTCAGCATAAAAGCAAGCAGATTTTTGTCATACCGAACGTGTTCAAGGAATTTTCTAATTTCATCTAGAACATTGGTATTAGAACAAATTCAAATTATTCGAGTAGAAAGGTAATAGCATAACGCTATTGTTCTTTCTTTCTATTCTTCAATTCTAATCTCTTGACTTCTTTCTCTTCCTCTTATTTTGCTTCTTCTGCTTCTTTGTCTTTCGATTTACGAGCATCGTCGGAGGAGAAATCGAGCGACGATAAAATCGTAACGTGACACCCGAGAGAGGGTAAACTCTCTACGAACGGAGTCGCTTTCGTAGAGGATAAAGGACGCTAAATCCACTGGTTACGAAAGCACACGGTGATTAATTTAGAAGATTAAGACGTCATTTCTTTCCAACTCGATTTAGGATATTATAGCAGTATATTCACCGATGAATCTTTCGAATTCTTTATTATTTGTTTTATATATATCTAATTAATTTACAAGGGACAATAAAATTCTTGTAATATTACACAATTATAGGAATCCGTTAGGACCGTATACCGTGCAATAAGAAATAAGATCCAATATTTAAACAATGCTACTAGGCCTAATCGTGTTAGCCTAGCAAACATTTTCAATTTTCTTCAAAATATTCTATCTGTAATATACAAAAATAGAATAGACAAATATTAACATGGTTTAAGTACAAGTTACACGCGTACCATATAGAATGTGTATACGTGTTTTATGTTAGGTATATGTGTATGTTTGTGGTCTTAGATCTCGCCGATCGTTTAATCTGCAATGGGTCTTGCTTTTCTTGCTCGACTTGTAGCAACCGCGTAGAGAAAACGGAAGGAAACGAAGGAGAATTCGCGTATCTCTCTACGTAGACTAAGGTGTATCCATTTTACACGTAAATTAACGCTATACGCTCTTCTTGTACGGTCCATTTTGGATAAGAGCCACAATCTTGCTAGTACATAGAAATAACGGCTCCATCTTCTCTTTCTCCTCTTTTCACATTTGCTTTTCCTCCCACACTGACTGCGATGAACTTTGAGAAAATTGGTACACGATTTATTTCCTTAGTCGCTTTTTTTCTTTTTTTAAACGCATTTTTATTTTTTGCCTTTATTATTTCTTTAATAGAATTACATGTCCTACATAAAAATATGGCAAATAGTTTGATCAATTTATTTGTTAACTATTTAAAAATAAATATATGTACATATATACACATATATAAATAAAATTAATTATCATTAATATTTAAAGGTTTTTTTTTGTCCACCAAGTTTTTAGTATTGCAACAAGGTTTTACTTATTAGATCTTTCAAATAGTCTGAGATTTTCCATCTCGATAAATAAGAATACGACCGTTTCAAGGCCATTACGAAGCAAGGTCAACGTTCTAAGCGTGAACAATACCGTTCCTGTATCCATGTGTATGTGTGCGCAACGTGTTGCATTAGGTTTCTTTTCTAAATCATTCTCAAGAATAGTTTTATAGTCGGTTAGGTACACATATAATATATATATAGAGAACTTCACATCTATCTTATAATTAATAATAAAAATAAATCAAAAAATAATTGCGATTAATAGATTAAAATATATAAGAACGACAAGAGATACGTAAAATTCATTTTTATCTTACTTTGTCAGAGGTAATCCGATTGATTGATCGTGAGATGAAGTTACCCTTGTGCTATCGGATTACCTGTCAACTTCAGAACCTTTTTTTTTTCCTTCTGCACGCAACGAGTCATCGTCGAAAGGAAAGATATTCCATTTGTAAAAGGAGAGAGAGAGAGAAAGAGAGAGAGAGAACAACATTTACTAATTCGAAAGATCGGCATCAATTCAAAGTGTCGTTTATGAAGATATATCTAATTGTAAGTAGGTATATGTACCTATTTCTATATTCATTAGTAAAATTAATGATATAAACGACGATCGGACCTAGTCATCCTCGTCTTCGTAGTTTAGATGTATTCCTAACGAAGAAGGCATATAATACGATTAGGTTAATTGCCCCTTTAATTAACTAGTACACAAACTTATGCCAGAACCCTCGACGTTGTACAAATATTTAATTACAGTGTCACACGTGTAGGATTACTAGGAGCCCTTCTCTTTCTACTTCATCCCTCAGCTTCCACCTCTCTCCCTCTCTCTCTCTCTCTCTCTCTCTCTCTCTCTCTCTCTCTCTTTCTTTCTCTTTGTTGCATTCGCAAAGACGCCTCGAGTAAAGTACGCGGGATTTACTCAAACTTCCCACGCACTTAATCCTGATTTTCGACTAACTCATTTGCAGCCACCGGCAGAGTTTCAAACCGTCTCGTGCCTCTTCCTCCTCCTTCTCCTCCTTCCTATTTCTACTCTTAGAGCCAATCTTGTCACTTTAATACGTTGCACGATATTTACGATAAAAAACGGAAAGGTATTTGCCGAATAAAAAAAAAAAAAACAATAAAAAAGAAAGAGCAAGAAAAAAAGAGAGAGAGAGGGTCCTGAATTACTTCGATTGACTTGGGATCTTCCTTGGAGAACACAGGGTAAAGGTTTTTCCTCGAGAGAGATCATCCCCTACTCTTTATTAAATTTGCCATTCCTGATCGCAGTAAGATCGAATTGACGACTCCTCTCTTTATTTCCTTTCTTCGTTTCATCCTTCTTACGTTTCTGTAAGCGTAGGCTGTAAGTGGACGTGTTTGTAAGATTTCAAAAGAAATTTTTCAATGCTATTATCCACTCTTTTATTCAACCTACACATAATACTTCTACATACCTACCTATCTACACACACACATTCACATTCACGCATATATTTAACTATTAATCTTATATGAATATTAATTAAATGATAATAGATAAAGGTTGATATTCAATTTTATATAATCAATCATATGATACATGTTACAATAGATAGACTAACGATATAGTAGCATTTACTTGATGATCTAATTATGTATGGCGTGGAAAGGCGCGAAAAGAGGTAGACGGACAGAGTAACGTTGACCGCGGGTTTCATGGGATTAGTGATATCGATTTTCGGAAAATCTACCATACATGGTATCATTAATGCAAGCCCGGAGAATGCAAGATACTGGTATGTCGAAAGGGGAGCTCGTATTCCCGTAGCCAGTTCAGTTCCGACTGACCGCTGGGGGTAATTATCGTTCTTCGAAGAAAGCTCTCACGCTCAAACCCTTTCTCGTTCGCACTTGGTCACGTCACGCAGCAACAGCAGTAGCAGACACTTACGTACCTATTACTTACATATATATATATATATTGTATACATGTAGCCTCTTAAGGTGGTCCTGCATCAGCCTTCCATCGACTCTCCATTGGCTCGGAAACTTCAGCAATAACCGGTAATAGTTCTGCAGAAATCTCTTCTTGCACAGCTCCTCGGTGTGCTCCACTCTTTCTCTCTCTCTCTCTCTTTCTCTTTTTTTCTCTCTCTCAACCCCCTTTCTACCTCCCTCTTCTTCTTCACCCGGACGTATAGGGGTGCTTCGCTCGACGTCGCGAAGAATAGAGATAGACAGGGCCCTTCTAGAGTAGACTGCGTTACTCGGATACGGAGCATGGAATGGGGTCAACTGTGAAAGTAGGGTCACTCGCAGCAGACAAGATCGATTTTTCATTAGAATCGGTACCATCATCATGAGCTTGCATCCACAAAAATTCTATGAATCCCGTTCGATTGTTAATTATCTTCTTCATAGTATACCTATATGTTCGTATCTCCAAGTACATATCATGTATAGTTTATAATATTCCTTTTTCCTTACAATTACAAAGGATGTTATTTAACAGCAGGTATTAAGTATAGAATATTATTACACCTTCTTCTTTATGGTGTGGGCGGCTGGGTATTCGAAAGTCTTAGAAACATGATTGGATCATGACGTTTAAAATTCATGCGCTTGTTGACCTTAGAGTAGGTTCAAAGTATCTTAGAAGAGAGTATAATGATTACTTCGGTGTCAAGAAGACTACGGAGAGAGAGAGAATGCATAACGTGCTGGCCTCTCTGTGTTAAAGCTGCAAGATACGCGACTAGGCATAATAAACTCTAATGAATTGGATGGCTCCTTTTCTTATGTTAGTAACTTAGGTCGACTTTATTATTATCCTCAAATTCGCAGGATTCCAATTTATTGTTCTTTCTCCTAATGTAACTTTATTTTTTTATTACTTTTTCTTATTAATTAGTGTTTCTTTTCAGTCATTTTCAATATTAATTTTTTGTTGCAAATATAAACAAATTGGTAGCGTAAATAAAACTTTATTTAATTTCACGTATATAAAAATGAATATGCTTTAGTAATAGTACGAGTCGTATAAAATATATATTATGAAAATAAACATAATCGACGCTGATGAGAACAAGGATCTATGGGATACTTTCTTGATATTTTTTAAATATTATTCATTTTTACGTTAAATAATTATCGATCATTTCTTTTTGATAATAAAAACAAAAAAAAAAAGGAAAATAAAACATTAAAACATCAAATATCGTACATTAACGGTTAACGTCAAAATCTTCTTGTATTGTGGGGGAGGAGGGAGAGGAGGAACGTGCTGAAACTATTTTTACACGTGTTATTTTGACAAAGTCTGTTTTTTTTTGGTCATAATCTTTAACTTAATTATTCGTTTCTATCTCGAAGAGGCGTCAATGATTTATGCGGCGAAGATGTGGGTGTGGTGTGACTACTTCTCGAAATTCCTCCTCCTATCACGTTTTCTTTCCCTTTAGTTTGTGAACGCTTTTGTTGAGTTTTTACCTTTTCCGCTGTAACGTTTTGTTGTTGGTGTTCCAGTTGCTTACATTTAGACTGTAATTCCTAAAAAATAAATTCATCTACTTATTGTTGTACAATTTCCTTAGATATAATATATACTTATATATAATTTAAATAACAAAAACGAATACTAATGCGAATGATAATAAATATAGCAGGCAAAACAAGATAGTACACAAAATCATTCATATTAGAAACATTTTTATTTCATTGAACATAGATTTTGTTCATAACAAAATTTATAAAGTATCTTAATATTAAAAAAAAAAAACGAAATAATGTAAAAATTACAAAGCAAATAAATTTGGAAAGATGATTCCAACAAACGACAATAATGAATGAACCCACCTGTTCCAGTCGAGAGATTTTTTCTTTTAGGAATGAAACATGCATGATTCTTTGTTGGTGATTCTGGTGGCCAAGTACATGGGCATATTTTTCATTTATTTCTTCGTACTCCTTTTTAAGTAGATCATTACTTTTAGCTAACAGCTTGAATTTTCTATATTATAAAATATAATAATTATTTGTTTGTTTCCCTACAAAGTATTGATAATCATAATAATCATCTTACATTTCAACGCCTTTACGACGTATTCTTTCCGCAGTTAAAGCTCTTAGAAGCTTCTCCTCGCGAGCTCGACATTCTTCTTTTTCCTTTTCGATTAATAAATGTTTGTTCTGAAACACACATAATCGATTATGAATTTCTATTATCAAATAAAATAATTTTTATTATCTTCTAATCTCTCTTTCTTTGACTGTACTAAAATATGACAATTCGTCTAAAAACAGGACAATCTAGATTAGATATATTCATTCCCTTAATAGTAGTATATATATATGTTTAATTTAAATATATTTACTTCTTCGACGATAGGATTACATGTCGCAGATAACTTTGACAAAAGTTCCACGTATTCTTCGCTGAGCTTTTTTTGATTTTTTAATTGTTCGTGAAGTTTACTATTATCGAGTTCTAATCGGGAAATTGAAATTTCCCGTTCATCGTTTATTTGTTCTAAAGATAATAACATATCTCGTGTAGTGCACAAAGAACCAGCCATTTCATCTAGCTGTTTCTTCATCTAAAATAAATAAATAAAAAAATAAACTTAATCTCATGATAATCATACGTATGTTAATTTAATCTCATAAAGAGATAGAACAATACCTCTGCACTTTCGCTGGATTTTTTTTTCACTGTTTCACGAAGTAGGTTAATTTCTTTGGTCGCCATTTGTTTAAATTCGTCGATCTTTAATTCGTAACATTTCTTCATAGATTCACACTCGAATATACTGTCTGCTTCGATTTGATTAATGATTTGTCTGTTAACATCTAATTGTTTTGTATAATTTTGTACCATTTGAGTATTACTACATATAGAAATAAGTAAATCTCGATGTTCCCGTAAACAATCTTCTGCACATCTCAATTCATATTGCAATCTTTCTACCTCAGCGTTACTCTGTACTAAATGTTCCGAAACTGCAGCAAATGCTGCTTTATTTTCAGTCATAATTATTTCAAACCTGTATATATGATATACAATTTATATAGACATTTACTTTACATATATTTATATATATATATAACATGTTAAGAGTCATTTTTGTATTACATACCTCTTTCTTCTAGACACCAATTCTGCAGCTTCCGAACGTATTTGGTCTTTCAATGCTCTAAGCTCTGCTTTTTTATCTCCCAATTCAGTTTCTGCTTTATCTAATTCTACCTGCAGACTATGACTTAAATTTATCTGAAATATGTATCATAAAATTTAAGTACAAGAAATGTATACGTGGAATTAATATTTTCAATTAAAATAAATACCTGAATTACAGCAGACGATTTCAATTCCTCAATTATCGAGGAAAGTTTTGCTATTTCCGCATCTCTTAATGCTAACTTATTTTCTAATGCAACGCGTTCACTCTCTATTCTTGCTAAGCATGCTTTATATTTCTCATCATTGAGACGCATTTCTTCTTCGATTTCAGATGTAGCTTGTTTGATCATTGTATTTATCTAGATTATTATTATATAAATAAGTATTGATAAGAACAATTAAATTCACATTAATAAAAATTGATTATTCAAAGATCACAGCAAATCAAGACAAAACGAAAATGCTAATAAGTCATATAATATTTCAGTTTTGTAAAAATTTCTTTAGAAAAAAGAAATAAATAAAAATTTTAAGAAATTCTAAAATAAAATACTAAGTCAGGTGATATTTAACATTTACGCTTACTTTTACGTCACATTCGGCGATAGTTTCTTTAACCTTTTTTTCACTATGATGATGACAAGATTCTAAATTATCTTCTTTCGTAAAAATATTAGTACTTTCAACGAAGTTGTTAGTATTTTCCGTAATTTGTTTATTTTCTTCCTTAATTTGTTGACTCGTTTTTTTATAATCAGTCATTTCTTTATCTTTCGCTATAGACAACTATATGAACAAAAACATTATAAATGTCATAATAATTATCCAAAGAAATTTAAACAAAAAAATTACTTTGTCAATAACTTACACTTTCTATTTCATTTAAGTAATTTTCTTTAGTTTCTTTTAATAGCTGTGTTAATTCTAAGTTCTCTTCATGGTGTTTCTTTTTTAAAGCCTCTATTTCAGTCTTATGTACTTTTAAGAGACGCTCATGTTTTTCTTCTGCAATTTCTAATTCCTTATGAGCTTGCGTCAACTGTTGACTTACCTGTTATAGGAAAAAAAAAAGAAAAAATCTAATTTAGTTAAAAGTGCTAAACTAAAATCAAATTAAAAATACTGCTATAATGAAATATTCACATCTGTATAAAGTCTTTTCATGTCTTGTAATTCATGTTGTAGACAGGTTTTAGTTTCAGTCACTTTTTCTAAATCGCTTTCTAATTTGACTACTGTCACTTTTGTCTTTTCGTGTTCCTGTTCAAGTTTTTGCTTTTCTTTCAAAAACCAATCCATTGATGTTTCCTTTTCTTTATTATGCTTCTTAACAAGTTGACTCTTTTGCATCATGGAATCGTCTATGAGTTTGTCGTATTCTGCTCTTAATTCGTCTAACTCACATTGAAGAGCGGATAATTGCCCTTGAAGTTCTAAAATAACATTCTGCCTCTTCTCTAATTTAGCTTCAAGCTCACACTTGTTCTCTGTCAAATCATTTACATCCAATGTACACTGTAATTTTTCTTTTTCTAATAAATCAATTTGAATGTTACGTTCTTCTTCCAGTGCTTTTAATTTGGACAATAATTCTTCAGTTTTGGTCTCTAATGTTTGTATCTATTTAAAAAAAAATATTTATCATTTGATATATTAATAGTGCATAATAAGTTTGTTATCGTATTAAAACATTCGACATTAATTACCATTATTTGATTTGTTTCTGCCTTTTTGGCCATCTCTGATTCTAAATGTAATATTTTTTCCGACAACTCAGCCACACGTTTTCTCAAATCACTTTCCACTGTTCTTCTAGCAAATATTTCTTCTTCTTTTTCTCTCGAAATATCTAATAACTTAGAACGAAGTCCGTTTACTTCAGCTTGATGTCTTTCATCATGATTATCTAAAACTTCCTGTTGTAATTTAGCCTATAAAACAACAAAAATTTAACAAAATTATATGTAGAAGCTTAAGAAATACAAATGTAAAGAAAAAAAGAAAAGAAAAGAAAAAATAAATTACTATTTGCTTACCATAGTTTCTATATCTTTCTTGTGTTGTTCCTCGACTTCAATTTGTTTTTTATGTAATTCCTCTATTTGCACTTCAAGTTTGCACATTTCTTCTTTCATTTCTTCTATCTGTTTCTCATGTTCCTGTATAGTTCTATTTTTATTTTCACACTCAACTTGTAACTCCAACAACTGATCCGTTGAATTATACTGCTGTTTATTAACACTTTTACTGTTAGTCTGGTTCGTGGACTTCAATTTTCCCTTCATACAATTTATATTCATCGGTTTGACTACAACACGTTTTCGGACACATTGTGGCTATAAAAAAAAAAATATACTTATGCAGATTATATTATTTAAAAAAATGTAGTTTATAATATATTAATAAAATAATATATTTCCTCACAGCAATAAATTTTCCAGGCAGTTGTTGTCTAGTGCTCTTACTGAAAAAATTTAAACTCGATTCCGTGCTATTGCTCGTTGTACTTATATTATCCTGAAATCTTTCTTTTTTCTCTATTGCAAGCCCTTTTACTTTTGGGCCAAACTTTGGATCATATGCACCAGGTGGTGGTACCTTATCTGTAACAATTCATTTATAAATATTTTCAATTTCCACATTTAAATAAGAAAAACAATAACATTGATTGCAGAATTTTTATTTATAATTTATATTTAAAAGGAGGAAAGACATTTAAATAGTTATAATGACATCATACTCGTTGCACTGACAAAGGGTCGGTATCCTATTCTTTTAACGAAACACGTTAAAACTAAGATTGGAGGGTGGAATCAAAAGGATTTCCTCCTGACGCATCTTCGCAAGGGGAGTCTCCAAATGGGAGACAGCTGTATGTTTGTATTAGAGGGATATCTAAGTAGTAGTTGAGCCATGAAGGTACCAGGTGTAACATTCGACCGGCCCTTCTTGTCGTTACGATAAAATACTTTCTTTTGTCGTTACTTACACCCTCCTTCCCCCTAGTAAACCACCACTCCGTTTTTAAACATTTAAAGATCAACATTTATCGCAGAACGTACGTATTGTAATAATGGGGAATATTAATTGTAAAAATTAGAAGAATACATTTTTTTATGGTCTAAAAAATATAACGATTGGTAGTATCACTATTGCATAATGTACTTTTTTTATTGTATTTTTAGAAAATTTTATAAAATAAAATAATATGAGGTAACAAAGAACAAATAATATTAACAAAATATAATAGAATTTAAATAAATTATAATAATGTATATTTTATATAAAATGATTCTAACACGTGTATACAAATTGTTTATGCATTAATGTTAATTGTTTCAATAATTTATAGAAACTCTACCTATACATATAGCAATCTAATTAAACAAAGAAATCAATAAAAAGTATTATACTATATTGTAAAGAAAAGTATTCAATTTTCCCGCCATAATATAGCTTCTATTTCAAATATTTAATTTGCAGAATTAATGTACATGAATTTAATTGTGATGCGCAATAATGATCGTTATTTATTAAGACGCGATGACATTAATTGTTAAATTGTTTTAAATATTTTTTAAAAAAGTCAACGATTATATATATACGATAATAACTTACTTGTAAGATCATTGAACCGTTGAATTCTAGCTTTTGCGAACGACATATCACTATAATATTTGATAAAATAATTGTTTATAAAAAGATTAAAAATATATAACGCGGGTTAACGAACTAATGTTTATTCAAATATACACAGTTATTGATTATTAAAAACACTATACGTTCCTCCATGAAGACGTCCATCCCCCTTGAAAACTATGGCTTATATGAAGTTGCACGAGTCTTATACAACGTTCTTTTCTCTCAACGTTTCTTTGCGCGGGTCAGTTTACCGGTTTTTATCACATTCGAAAAGACGGTTACGTTATTGACCAATCAGCGTCTAGTTATTCGACCGGCGTCCAATCAGCGACGAGACGTGAAGGGGTCACAAATATGCAGGGATGTGTGCATATGATTTATTGCCACTAACATTTTCAGATTGAATCTTTTTCAATTACTTTCATTTTTGTATATAAAATACTATATTAATCTTAAATATTAATATTAATAAAATTTGTATTGTATTACTTTGATAAATTAATTGAAATATCTGAACAAAATGTTTCTCATTTTTTAGATAAAATATAGAAAAATATTTTTATTTATATTATAAATTTTCGTTTTGTTTTTTTTTTTTAACACTTTATATATGTGTGTTATACTTTTTCTAACGATTGTTACATTATTATTTAATTTTGTAATAATGTTATAAATTTAAGAAAAAGGGGTGACACGTAGTGCCACGTAGCAACGTTCAGACCAATCGGTTTTTGGAGCAGCGTGTCATATGTATAGTTACTTTATTAGCGTGCCGTGATTGTCATAGCTGTTACTGCTTTTTCTGATAGATTATCTTGTCAAAATCTATTAAAATGATGTCGAAATATTATATTACATTCCTCGGGATTGTGCTAATAAGTTTAACTTATGTCAATTGTCAATACAGAACGAAAAATGTAAGAAGTAAAGAATTATTATTATAAATATTATCCTATTTTCAAATGTCATATTCATGTCATATTTAAATCTTATTCTAATTATTGACGTCATTTAAATGAAATTTCATTTTACTTTTATTAACTGTCCTTTAAATTTAATTGTCTATTTTATTTTAATATGAGAAATTATAAGATAAATTAAGTGTGATTATATATACTAATAGTATCACCATCTTCATAACCTCTAAACTGTGTAAATTACATATCCTATTTAGAGTCAAAGTTCCTCGTTAGCCGAACGTGTACAACAATTAACAGAAATGGCCATTAGGAGACCAGTAATTAAATTTAACGGTGCAAAATTTAAGGAATTTGTGAAAAATACCCCAAGAAATTATTCTGTTATTGTAATGTTTACCGCTATGGCGCCTCAAAGGCAGTGTCAAATTTGCAGGTAAAAAAATAATAATAATTTATTTATTAAAGGCTTTTTTTTAACGATTATATTTTTTCCAGACATGCAAATGACGAATTCACAATAGTCGCTAATTCATTCCGATATTCTCAGTCTTATTCAAATAAGTTGTTCTTTGCATCTGTAGATTTTGATGAAGGATCAGATGTTTTTCAAATGGTATTAAATATATATATATACAGTAATCAATTTCTAAATATGAAATATAAAAATGAAAAATAATCTCTTTGTTTAGATGAGATTAAATACTGCCCCGGTGTACATGCATTTTCCATCGAAAGGTAAACCAAAAGCAGCAGATACTATGGATATACAGAGAGTTGGTTTTGCCGCAGAAGCAATAGCAAAATGGATATCAGAACGTACCGATATTCAGGTAAATATGTTTTTCTAAGCTTTGCATAATAAAATATTTATTACAAATATTTATTTCTTACAGATAAACATATTCAGGCCACCAAACTACTCTGGTACGGTAACTTTGATAATGTTCTCTGTTCTGATCGGAGTATTCCTATATGTTAGACGTAATAATCTAGATTTAATTTATAATAAAACAATTTGGGCCCTCGGTGCATTGGTAAGCAAAATTTTATTTTTTTTTTATCTCTAATAGAACGAATTATTTGATTGAAATTAATCTTGTTGTAGTTTTTCACTCTTATAATGATATCAGGACAAATGTGGAATCATATCAGAGGACCTCCATTAGTCCACAAATCACCTAATGGAAATATGGCATATATCCATGGGTCCTCCCAAGGACAATTTGTGTTAGAAACATATATTGTTATGGTTTTGAGTATCCTTTTATTTATTAGATCTAATAAATTGAATGTTACAAATATATACATAATATACCTTAACGAAAGTAATAAGATGGGGCAGTGGTATTAGGAATGATTCTAATGACCGAAGCTGCAACAAGGAAAGGTGATGTTAAAAAACGAAGAATATTTGCTGTGATAGGCTTTGGATTAGTTGCTATTTTCTTTAGCTTACTTTTGTCCATATTCAAGAACAAGGCTCAAGGATATCCATATAGGTTTGTCAGATACTTATCAATTTTATAGTTTTAATTTTAGATTTAACACATATCATGTTTTTGTGGAGTATGATAGTATGTTTCCATAATATATGACGATTTACTATCATACTCCATATTAAATATTTCAAAGTATTTACTTTTAACCCCACCCCAGTGAAGAATAATTGATGTGTTACAGGTTGCTGTTTAAATGAAAAAATTCTTTACAGAAAAAATAAGGTTCGTATAAGTCCCATCTTTGTGAGAATTTTAATCTTGCCATGATCTCATTGGCCTCACAAATGTATATTACGGCACACGAGTTATATTGAAGATAAAGATACGATACATGATTTATTGTTGAATTTTTGCACACGTTCTAAGGCTAAAAAGTTGTTACAAAAGAATGATGTATCTTAGCCTTCAACCATTTCTATCAATGTTGTACGACAATTATCAAATTCATACATTTTTATGTATTGTAAAAATATGTTAAATAATACATGACTCTTGACGGTCATAAAAAATTTTTTAAACTAGAGATAATCAGTATAAAAAAAACATTACTTATTTACAGACTTTGATATAAAAAAATTACTGGAAATTTCAACTGCCTTTAACTGAAATTTAATTACTTAAATTATATCATTTATGAGTTCTTCCAAATCTATACAGGTAAAGTAAAAAAAAAATTAAGAGAAGAAAAATCATTGTGAACAAATGTGGCAGAAGTTGAATCGATAGAATAAAATTTATGTAAATAACACATGTAAGGATACTAATTGTATTCAAAAGGAAATTAAAACTTCAAAAGTCAAAAACATTAAAAGAAATGAAAACTTTTTGATTTTTTTTTGGGGTAATTCTTAAAAATATTTTTATACCTTTTGATATTAACCCTTGACTCATAATAAAAAAATTTAAATATCTACCCTTCTAAATCCATAATTAATTAATTCATTAATTTTATATCGAACGAAATTGTCAGTCACACATATACTATTTAAATTTAAATATATTTTAATATATTATCGAGTTTGATTGTTTATTCTCACACTATGTGGCGCTGCTGTCAAATTAATTTCATATAAAATATGGCGCCAGCTGTAGCAATGTTAATAATCCAGAAATAAGTGATTAAAACGAGTTCTAATTTATCAGGATGATATTTATTTCCTAAAAGAATGAATTTTACGTGTTATATATGTTTTTTTTTCGAGTAAAAACAATTATTAAAATATAATAATAATAAATATTTAAATAGTCTCGGACTATATATGTCGTTACAATTTTTGGTCACTTGAAAAACACATCGTTTAAAGACAATTCATTATTGATAGTAGTTGTAAAGGGGGAATGGGAGGGTAAGGGTCCGTTTGTAACAATGAAGAATAATCATTTTATGTTAAGTAATTAGCGGATGTGTTTAATGAATACTAACAAACGGATGGTAGATGATTGTATTTAAAACATGCGCTCTCATTATCGCTTTTTCTCTAGACCAAGCTTCCGGTTTAAATGGAGGATCCCGTCTAAAAGCGTTCGCATTCATTCGTTATCTGTGGTCGATACTTATCGCATAAATTATACATGCGTTTCTTAGGTTTAACCGCGAATGTACGGAAGTACTTTTTTTAATTGTTTATATACAGATATTATATATGGACCAGACAGAATATTTTTTAGTATTAACTAGATGTGGCAACGTTATAGTGAAGTGACAGTACCATAACTATTTTCCTTAATCTTATACGACCTTGGAAGTAAATGTGAATATAATGCCGTTAGCGAATCTGACGGTTCCTTGGACAGAACAACATGTAAATGAAAAGGTAAGATTATTCGCTTTATTACTCAATTAACTTTAACTATTCATCAGATTTTCATTCAATTACTTTACAATTAATATATATATATATGTAATTGTGTGTTTAAGAACAATTTTTCTTCTTAAAATTATATTACAATTAATTTTAATTTGGTTCTTTGTTTTTTAGCAAGGATTAGAAATTCTGTCTGATGAGAATCAGGAAGAAACAATGATTACTCAAGGAAATATTATTGAGTCACGTTCAAATGGGTGTTCGGAGTCCCATGAAATTGAAGTACGTGAGGTAGTTCGAGAAGGTCATGAAAAGGCTGATCCATCTCACTTTGAACTATTAAAAGTACTTTGTCAAGGTTCTTTTGGCAAGGTAAAAAATAATTTAAACTTTAATCTATTATTTTTAATTATATTTCTTTATTTCTTTTTATGATTGATTATGTGTTTCAGGTATTTTTAGTACGTAAAGTTGTAGGAAAGGATAGTGGCACGCTATATGCCATGAAGGTTCTTAAAAAGGCGACTTTAAAAGGTATTTTTATTTGTTATTATAACAATTGAATATTTCTTTCACTATTGTTCACTCTAATTATGATCATGGTATCTTAGTCAGAGACAGAGTAAGAACAAAAATGGAAAGAAATATATTGGTTGATGTGGAGCATCCATTCATTGTTCGACTACACTATGCATTCCAGACAGAGGGCAAACTGTACTTGATCTTAGACTTCTTAAGGGGTGGTGATCTTTTTACAAGACTATCCAAAGAGGTTATTGAACAAGCTAACTAAATACCATTTGTATGATTATTTTTCTTTTAATTTTCATATTGTTGCAAAATCTGTCCAATTGTAAATACACATTTAAGAATGATAAATATCTCAAATATTAATTGGTAGCAATTATGATATATATATTATTCAATATTATGTTTTGTAATAGAAACTAGAATCAGTATTATTCTAAAAATAATTTTACAGGTCATGTTTACAGAAGAAGATGCTAAATTTTATCTTGCTGAACTTGCACTTGCATTGGATCACATACATAATCTTGGTATAATATATCGCGATTTGAAACCAGAAAAGTTTGTATTTCATTATAAATTAAATTAAAATGATTTTAATTCATTAACATGTTTAGATAATATCATTTCATCTATTGCTTATTTTATTTGTCATAGTATTTTATTGGATACTGAAGGGCATATCTCTTTAACTGATTTTGGCTTAAGTAAGCAATCGTTGGATAATTCTAAAACATATTCATTTTGCGGTACTATCGAATATATGGCGCCAGAAATAGTTAAAGGAAAAGGGCATTCTTATGCTGCAGATTGGTGGAGCTTTGGTATCCTCATGGTTAGTTATTATAAAAAATATTTTAAAAATCATTTAAATTTATGTATATTTTATTTCTTTTAAGTAAATAGTAATTTTCAGTTTGAGATGTTAACGGGTGCACTACCATTCCAAGGTGTTAATAGAAAAGAAACTATGAATCAAATATTAAAAGCTAAACTTACCATGCCTTCTAATATATCACTGGAAGCCCGAGCATTGTTACGAGTATTGTTTAAAAGAAATCCAGCTAATAGACTTGGATTTGGTAATGTCGAGAAATTTATTTTCTATTTTAACTATATCATATCTATATCTTATGTAAATATTTGATTTCATTAGTTTTTATACGTTCACTTAGGTGGTGTAGAAGAAATTAAAAACCATATATTTTTTGGAACAATTGATTGGGATGCTCTTTATAGGAAAGAGATAAGACCCCCGTTCAAACCAGCTGTTAGTCGAGAGGATGATACATTTTATTTTGATAGTGAATTTACATGTAAAACTCCTAAAGGTAATAATATACAATCTGTTTTTAATTTGTTGATAAATTGAAGAAGAATTGGTTAACATAATAAGTATATATTCTTATTTAAAATAAAATATTATATATATATATATATATATTTTTTTTCTAGATTCTCCCGGTGTACCTCCTAGTGCAAATGCTCATGAATTGTTTCGTGGATTTAGTTTCGTTGCACCCTGTTTGCTAGAAGATCATACAAAACCTCCAGAGTACAAAAACTGTGATAGTATTAATAATACTGTCCCTGCTTATGTCAATCCTATTTTAGTAACAGACGAATATGAATTTAAACATGAAATAGGTAAAGGAACTTATAGTACCGTTTATTTAGCGGTTCATAAGGCAACTAGAACTGAATATGCTATTAAGGTAATTTATTTGTATTTAATATATATAAAATTATTTAAATTTATACTTATTGCATATAATTAAAAATGATTTTACAATAGGTGATTGAAAAAGCAAAACGAGATCCATCAGAGGAAATAGAAATACTGTTACGATATGGAAGGCATCCACATATCGTAACTCTAAGAACTGTTCACGAAGACGATAGACGAGTTTATCTTGTGTTAGAACTTTTGCGAGGTGGGGAACTTCTTGATCGATTATTACAAAGACGTAATTTTACAGAAAAGGAAGCTGCCGAAGTGATATACACAATTACTAGTGTAGTTCATTATTTACATGATAATGGAGTAAGTATTTATCTCATTATTTTAATTAATTATTTCTATTAATAATATATATCCCTAATCTAAATATCGAATATTTTAGGTAGTCCATCGTGACTTGAAACCGTCAAATATATTATTTTCAAAACCTGGTGGCGATCCAAGTACATTGTGCATATGTGATCTTGGATTTGCTAAACAGTTACGTGCAGAAAATGGTTTATTAATGACACCATGTTATACAGCCAATTTTGTTGCACCTGAAGTATTAAAACGGCAAGGATATGATACTGCTTGTGATATCTGGTCTTTAGGTGTCTTATTATATATTATGCTTGCTGGGTATGAAACTTATTAATTTAAAAAGATTTAACACATAATAAAATATAAAAGCAAATTCATTAAATATAATATTTTGTTATAGATACACTCCTTTCCGAAATAGTCCAGGGGATAGTGCAACAGATATACTTAATCACATTGGACCTGGATATATAGATGTAGAAAGCGGTGTCTGGTGTCAAATATCAGTGGAAGCCAAAGAATTGGTCAAGAGAATGTTACATGTCGACCCTAATCGTAGGCCTACAGCAGCTCTTATTTTAAAATATCCTTGGGTTGCAAATCGTCATCATCTTCCACAAAAAATGTTACCTGACATCAATACAGATCCACGTAGTTTAAAGGTATTTTCTTAAAATCAACACACACACAAATTGTACTTTATTTTAATATTTATTACTGTGTATAATCATTATTCATTTTGTTTCATATATTTAAATTCTATAGATGGCAGTTGCAGCAACATACAGAGCAATGTCAAGTAGTCCAAGATCACCTCATATCGGGCCTGTAGTTTTATCAGAATTAGCACGTCGTAGAACACAAGCTAAACCAGGTCCTACAGAGATTTAAAATTCAATTATAAAGTAAGTTAGATGAAACAAAAAGAGAAGAAAAAAGAAGGAATTACAGATTACCTAAAAGAATTTTAAAGAGGAAATTTTGACATGTACAAGCCAGATAATTTAAAGTACAAGAAAAGAGAAGCTAAATGTTTCTATTGGCACTATCACTGTTATTATTAAATTAATTATGTACAAAATATGTAAGACGCGTTTACAAATCAGTGACAGTGAACTTAATGTGATACTTATTTATACTTTTCATTTTCATTTAGTACCTTTGCGTACTTTCATGTACGTATACATATTGCCATATATAGACATTTTAAAATTATCTAATATTAATGCCTAATTCTTTAAGTTTTAGTCAAAGATTCCTATATTCTTAAACAAACAAAGAAAAAACAATCTTTTTAAAATATATTTCCTACGTCAATCTTGCTAAATAAGACTATATATATATATACACACACACATAAGTCTATAAGTGAAAATGTAAATCTAAATATAACAGAAGATTATATTTTATTGATATGAATCTATAGTATTATTCGTGCAATGTTGAAAATTAGGTATATAAACGTTCTATTATAAATTATAATTTTTCTTCATAAGCTTTTTAAACATCTATAGTGTAGAACAAATTATTCATTTACAGTCTCTCATCAGCTTTAATATTATGTAGAATATTTCAATATTAATAAAATTGTTCCAAAAAGTCTTTAATATCTATGTAAATCAATGCTTACAATTATATGTATATATGTCAGCATTATATTATATATGTATAAAAAGTATTTTATTATACACTAAGATTAGTAGTTTTAAAAAATAACGATGTTATTTATGAAATCATAAAAAACGACTAATTAAAGCATGGGTACGTTCAAAGTCGATAGAACAGTACGACTCACAGAAAATCTGTTTTCAAAGGACAGAAACAAGAAAAGATCTATAAGTATTCATTATTAGCATTTATTTTATTTTATTTTTTTTAATTTTCAGTGTAGTATATAGGCAGGTATTGAAAGAATATTTTTCTCATACTTAGGATTAAATCTTATAATTTAACTACTCACCTCTTGGTTATATTTCTATCTAATTTTTGTCTTTTTTGCAAATCAAATCTTTTAACTTGAAATCCCTTAAATGCGAGAATTCTCCATACGCGATTTACTGTACTGTACTTCTCCAACAATGTCTTTTATGTGATATTTTAACAATGGAAAGAAAAAGTTGTTGCTTGTCTACCTCTGGTTTTAACAAAGGATCGTAAAGGATGAACAAAGTTCATCTTTTATTTATATTCCATAAGTATAAAAAAATGTGGATTTATTATAAGAGAAACTGAATTAAGTACTTAAAAACATTATAAGAAAGTGAATATTTTAGCATTTATTGAGTCGGTCTTCTGTTGGATTTCATCGAGTGCAAATCGTCGTCTGTATCGTATAAACGTTTACATATATTAATATTAATTAAAGTTTTTCTTTTAGAAGTAGCAATCTCCACGTTATAATTTTGCCAATCAATTAATATTTGTAATCTAATATATATCATTTTCGTATGAAAAGATAAAATATTACATATTTACAAATGATTGTAAATTAGTTGTAAACAGAATGGTCGAACTTGTTCTTTAACATATATAATATATATTCAGTTACAAATAATATAAAGCAAAGAGTTAAATACAAAGATTAGATTAGATTAGATTTCATTTGAGTAAGTTACTGTTTATAAACTTTCGTCAGAAATAAATATGACTGAGGAAAATAGATAAAAATTAAAATATTTACTGTTCTTGTATATTTAAAAACAACGTATTTAATTACCGTATATTTGTTTTTCCTTCAATTTGAGAGATAATATAATTTCTTGAAATATAACTTAAAATATTAAAAATTATATTATCGTATAACCTAATTTTTAGAAAACATTCTATATGTTTCTACCTTGCTTTTGTTAAATAGGTTAGTTTTCACTATATAAAAACATCCTATCGATACTATAGCATTTTGCTTCGTAATTGATACGAAGTTTTAAAATAACGAATATAAAAGAGAGAGCAAGTTCATAATATTTTAAAATATTTAAATTATGTCATTCATAATCGCAGGTATACGTACGATCGCAAAAATAATCGATAAATGAATCGCAGGTAATCCTTTGATTTGCGGTAAATAAATGCGCATGCGCATAACCATTTTCGTTGATCTAATACTGCGTCGTACCAATACTGTGATGGTGTGACAAACAACCGGTACTGGACCAATATTTTTTAACGAAAAGAAAAAGAAAGAATGACTTGAATTATTTTTAATTCGTTGATTCTTTTTGTTAATGTAACAAAATTATATAATTTTATATAATTAGAAAAATTCAAATTTATTATTTTTCTATAGGTTAGATACATCCTGGTTATTTGTTAAACGAAAGCCTGCAAGTTCACAGTAAGTTGAAACATTATTTGTCATTTAATTAGATCATAAGAAATAATCAAATATAAGGACGAACCTTAATGATCTTTATTTTATAATATGTATTGTGTATTTACAAATATATGAATTATATTTTCGTTACGTTGACAACACTGCGTGAAATCTTTCAACATATTGCATTCCTTAAAGGAAAAAAAATTGAATTTATCATTGTTCGAGATCATCACGTGGTGTAATTATTTCGGTTTCAATTTTTTATAAAAATTTTAATTGTTATTAAATCTTTATTTTATTTTCACATTAGACTCGCGTTGATATTCCGTATTTTATTTGTATTTACATTTGCTATGTTGTGTAATATTATGAACTGAGTGAATAAGGTTCTATTTTGTTCATGCATGACAAATTTATTAGTGATTTGGTAAAAATTAATTGTGTTGTTGGTGTTATAGAAAAAAGTGAAGAATATATTGTAGTATTACAAAAAAATATGATTCGCCTTGCATTAAGATTTTTTTCCGTACCACAATATACAATGACATCATATTGCATGAAATTGTTAAACATTCATAAAATAGGTATGCAGATTTAGACTCTATATAATACAGTCAACAATTGATTTAATTATATTATTCATTTGTTTAATTTGTGATATTATAAAATTTTATAAAATCATTAGTTAGTGCGATTGTTATTATTATATTCTTTTATAGGACTTTGTACCATGCTGCAAAAAGATTGTTGTCCGTTAGTAATAGCAGGACCTTCTGGAAGTGGGAAAAGTACTTTGTTAAATCGTCTATTCGAGGAGTTTCCAGATAAATTTGGATTCTCTGTATCGCATACAACTAGAGCTCCAAGATCTGGTGAAGAGAATGGCAAACATTATTATTTTACAAATAAAGAAGTAATGCAGAAACAAATAGATAATGGTGAATTCATTGAGACTGCTACATATAGCGGAAACTTATATGGAACCAGGTAAGGAATTTTAAATATTTTGAATAAATGTACCATATTATTTATATACGTTAACAATAAGTATTATATTTATATTTTTTGTTAGTAAACTTGCTGTAGAAAATGTTCAACGAACAGGAAAAATATGTATATTAGATATTGAAATAGAAGGGGTTAAACAAATTAAAAATAGTTCTCTAAATGCTATATATATCTTTGTAAAACCACCATCTTTGGAAGAACTTGAACAACGATTAAAGAAAAGGAAAACAGAAACAGATGAATCTTTGCAACGAAGATTAAATACTGCTAAGATTGAATTGGAATATGGTATGTAATAAGTTGATACAGAAGTTCTTCTCGCATTGTTCACATAAATAGAAATTAAGAATACAATTAAAATTTTATTTTGTAATTTATATTTATATTCATTACAGGTGAACAACCAGGAAATTTTGACATTGTGATAGAGAATGATAATCTTGGTAAAGCTTATGAAAAGTTGCGTGAATTTATCTCCTACAAATGGAATATCAGTGCATAAAATAGGTATTAGAGTCTCCCATTTAAAATAATCGCCTATTATGTTATATAAAACAGTTTAAATAATGTTTATCATAATAGATAAAAAGGATATGTAACGAAAATATTTATAGCATAAATAGATAAAACAAAATGAGAGAGTCATTGAAAGAAAGAGAGAGAGAGAGAGAGATAGAGACAAAGAGACACTAATTAACTTGTTAAGATTTCAAGAAATTCACCAGAATATTTACCTGATAATAGTGCCCACGTATAAATATTAAGGACTATGATTTATAATATAGTTGTGAGAAAGATTTAAAAAGAAAGAACTATTAAACAGTTATATATATTTTTCACCGAAACAAGTTTAAATGTCTCGTACAAATGCAATTAAAAATAAATAGCATTTATGTTTGGATTAAATTTTTATGAAATAATAGTATCTTTAAATAGGCAAGAATGCATAGAGAGAACTTTGTGAATAAAATGTAACAATCTAGATATAGCTAACTGAGATTATTCACCAAATGAAGTTGTGTTCCAATAGTGTAGGTTACTTGCGAAGTACTTCTGGCTTTGTCTTGTACTTGCCTTTACATCTAAAATCATGTATCTTTTATAGCATTTTGATGAACGATATTTTATGTTAATACAAACATAATTATTTATCTTTTATCTAAATGTATCAAAAGATAATTATTCATTAGTTATTAAAATAGTACAAACATTCCCTTTTAAGTTTAAGGGATTACTATTGGTAGATGTTGAAGGTGCCAAAGTAGAATATACTTTTTATTTTTATCTACTTTAAGATTGGACCATCTATCATTCTTAGATATTTATATTCATTGACATAAACTATCGTGTTTTCATTGTACTCATTTTAGAAATAATTTTCTTTCTCTATTTTTAGTTGTAGAATTTTTAGTTACCAAGTATTTTTAATCTGTTTAATATTTCTATGTAGCATTCAAAAAATAAGAAATCTCGAAAAAAAATGATTGATCAGTGATTAGATTTCAAAGTATTTTAATAGATTATTATTAATTATAAGTTTGTTGTGCTTAAATTTAATCTATCGTTTGGCTTACTCATTGGTACTTACATTGAAATAAATCATTACATTAAATGTACACACTTATCATAAATAGAAGATAATCTCTCTATCGTAATTGATTTTATCGTATTTTATAATTACTTTCTCTTTTGTATTACTGTCACAGTAATAATTTTATATGATAACTATTTTCTTTTCTTTTTTTTTTTCTTTATGCAATCAATTAATCTCCATTTATGAGAAGTGTATTTTCGATATTTAATCATGATTATCACGGGACAATGTCTCCTTATAGCGAGATTATATTCTACACTGTTATAAAGAAAATTGTATAATTATAAAAAAGATATGTAATAATAAATATGCTGTTCGAAGTGGATGGTTTTTAAAGATCAACTTACCGGGCATAACGCATACGATCTTAATATTATATTTAAAAAGCGATGATCGAATTGAAAATCCTATTGTAAATAAAATCTCGTTTAAAGTTATTTTTCTTTTTTTTTCTCTTTGTTTTGAACTTAATTAACACTTGATATCAGGGATTACTTTTGCCCACGAGAAAAATTACGTAGCCATTCTCCGTGATGATGACGTATTTTATGTCTGGGTACTTCACTGATTTCAATCGACGTAACTTTTGTATTTTTATCTTTGCTCTCTTCCTCCTTATTTAATTCCTCTTGCAAAAGATTGTCCCCGTATTTACGTGGTTCATCGTTATTTGTTATTTCCTTGATCGTTGTAATTGGTTTCTCGGTTTGTTCGATCGAGGAATCCTTTGAAAATACATAATTGATCACTTGAGGTCTCGGAGCAAATATATTTTCCGAGGGTAACGAATTAACATTTCTTGGAATTCCTTCCATCTGTTCGTTCGAAAGATTTTGAGGAATCCACTTTTCAGATTCTGGGTCATTTCTATTTCCAAAATAGTTGTACTCTTGTCGCGGATATCTTATATAATTAATAGAATTTATTGTATCGAACGAATTATGATTTTGTAAATCTCTCGGTGACAGTCTCCTTATCGAATCAAATTCCTTAGGTATTTCTAAAGGTTGAATAGCTCGTGGTGATGCAGCAGACAAATTCTGTCGAATATCCCGAATAGATTCAGTTTTTTTCTCGTCGTTTCTCTTCTCAAACATATTTTCTTCATTTAAAAAACCTCGATCTGGTATTCCTCGAAAGTTTGATCTACTATTAATGTCACTTTTGTCAAAATTCGGATCAAAGCGTAAATAATAATTGCCCAACGTATTCCAATTGTCCAGATTTTTCGAAGTCAACGAATCTTCCGGAATATTTCGAATTAATTTGATATAATTCGGAGAAAGAGAATTAACGTCGTAAAATTTACGTGAGATTTCATAATTCCTCGATGATTCTGTTTTTGGATAATTTTGTATTCTTGATAATTTCGTGTCGGGATTATAAGAATTATCGTATCTTAAATATTCTAAACGATCGAGATATTCGTTCTTTGATCTATCTTCCATGTATTCTTTTCTGTCAGTTGGTATTTGAAAGGTTCTCTCTATTACTGGATCCCGATCGAAATAACGTTTTTCTTGATATTCGCTTGGATTGTTATCGTTATTTTCCGGATAGTAAGCTTCGTAAAAGACTGGACCTCTTTCAAGATCATATCCATCGTATCGACGATCGTTCAAGTTCCATGTCCAAATAGGTGATATCCCTGATAACAAAAATACAAAACATTTCTTCTATATATATATATATATATTTACACGATTATGCTGCTTCTTTTTCTTTTCTTTTTGTTAAATAATATTTCTTTTTCAATTTATTTACCCCGTTAGAGATATAAAATAAAGTTAGATAAATATTTAATAATCGATATACTTACATATCAAACTTATTATCGCCAAAATAGTAAATATATGACTCGTGAGAAGTACCATGATAACTCATCAACGACCAACAACACTCAACTGGCTACCGTCTCCGAGAGAAATAGTGTTGAGAGTATTTTAAGATCATCTTAAAATAAATCCCCATTTCCTTGTACTTTTGTTGCCGAATGAAACTGCACTTATGCGTGGACAAGCTGGAAAATCGCAAAACTTTTGGAAAACTTATGGTATATGTTGACCCATTCTACAGTATCGTTGACGCTTTATAACAGAACACTTTTCTTTCAATTTAATTTGATTTAATTAATAATTTTATAGAGATGAAACAAATAATACCTTATCTTACAATTCAATTACACATAGAATCATTTACAATTATGAAATTTACGTCGAGCATATACAAATCACCGCAAGTTATATATGTGTTCAATAATTTCAAAGTTAGAATATAATTTATTGGATTTACGATGCACATTTCATGTTTAAGAGCGTGAAAGGGTATCGTCAGAAATTCGATCAATAAATTAAACAGATCAAATAAGAAGTGTTGTTCGTTATTACGTTGGAAATTAGTCTTTGATATTTTTTTTGGACGGAAGAAAAAATCGTAAAAAATGTAATTTCTCGAAGAACGAATCTTTCTTTCTTTTACTATATAAAATTGGCCGTATTTTTGTATCTTTGACGAATAGTCTCAACCATCCCTTCTCATCGCAGAATACGATTGATGACAGTAATAGACCGACTATTAGCAAATAGAATGATGTCTGCATGTCTTCCAAATTAAACGGAACAAATTTGTTGCCCGCATGTGCTTGCGTTCTCGATGAAACTTTTCTTCCTTGGTAAATTAAATCCATTACGGTACGATTGTTCCACAATGTCACTAAACCTGCTTGATGTAATCTGCCAATTAGAAGATCAATCTTTTCGAGCAAATACGAATTCTTTCGTATTGGATATGCTAAGTAATAATTACCTGAAAAAAGAAAAAGAAAAAAGAAAAGAAAAGAATGCATTACCAACATTATCAAAATTATTAGCCGATAATAATTGGATCAAGCTAATAAAATTAATTAATTACGTGGACACTCATTAACCAAATGTAATTTAGGTGATAGATCATCGTTCAGCAAATTTTGTTCGGTTAAATAATAATGTTTCTTCCTGATTAATCCGCTTGCATTTCGAAAAAATGACGCATCGTGTAACGCTCTCATGCCGTATTTAAATTTTTTTCTCAGATTATTGAATACAGGTGATCCCGTAGATTCGTCATCAAATGCGTCTATTAAATTGTATTTCAAAAATACTATTGGTAATCCAGAAGCATCTAATTCAGATAATAAATCGATATCTTTGTAATATATATCATTAGTTAAACTTTTGTACAATAGTCCACCAAACAATCCAGCTATGGTAACGTTTGTGATTGAGAGAGTAGATAAAAGTATTCTTTCCGGACAGGAACATGGTAATTTTGTTGGGAATCCAACGGTGAATTGGAATACTTTGTAAGCGAGCTTTATTCGTTCGAACTTTTTTGCTCTAAAAAGAGAAAAACGAGGATAAAATAAAAAAATATAAAAGAGAAAAATTACAAGGTGTGCAAATAAATGAGATAAATTGATGTATAAAAATTCATAAAGAGAGGGGACTGTCCAATTTATCAAATTCTTATTAAGTATTTATATCGGTAATGAGTAATGATCAGTATTTATCGTGGGTTACAATCACATATGTCCTTAATGTTAACGACGATGGATCTCTCATTTATATCAAGGATATTTTATATATACATAAAAGAAGAATCAATGCTTTGCTTAACGCGATTTTCGATTTTATATATTTTTCCTTTTATTTTCTTTTTTTTTTCTTTTTTCTTTTTTTTGTAAAATATCAAACACCTTCGGATTAGTATTTCTATGGTATTTTTTTCCAATAGATAAATACTGTATATATTTTATTTGTTTGTGTTTTAAAAGTTTCTCTTGTATAAAGTGAGATAGGATCTAACTGAGCATGTCATTACCTTTGGCTCGTAAATAACAGTAGCACATAGCACATTAGGTAGACAATAATTGGTGAAATTATTGAGCAAAGCCAGATAGGGGGCTCAAACATGTGATGTATTCGAAGCCATTTCGGTATTTTCCGAGCTTTCGGTACGAACACGCAGATGCTGTCATATCCCGTCTGGCTGGTAAATTCAAAATTATGTTTATTCTTGCTATAGGGTTTGACGAAGAAAGACGCAAATGTTACATCCGCTCTGCCATAGGCAATATCACCTGACAAAAACCAAATACCTGAGTAAGTAAGTTTATCCTTATATAATAAAAGACGAATCCAATTTGAGAAATAAAAAAGGATTCTTCTTTATTTTTTCATATTTTATATTTTCTCATTTATATATTTAAAAATTTGTATATTTTATTTTACTCTTCTGGGGTATATTTATATTTGATCAATATTTGTATTTAATCGATGATCAATATTTTGTAAAATAAATTACTAGAATATATATAAATTTTAATATCAAATTACAATTTTTGTATATGAATCCTGTATGTAATTTTGATCATTCATTCGAAATACTGATTAGAAATATTTACAAATATTGACCAAATGAATAAAAGTTTATGATATTATTTCATTTCCTCTTACCTAACGTTCCAACTAAAGTCCCATTTGGTAACTCGTGTCCAAATTTAATTCTATCGTTCGGATTGATCTCATTCGCCGTGAAATTCATATATTTAACGATTGTTCCCATGATCATTGCATCGGTACCCTTATATCCCAGAGAATATTCATAAATCGAGCCCTTTAATGGTTTCTCTGTAGTTTTCATTAATGTTTGATATTGTTGAAAGAGACCTACGTTTAATTTGTATCCATACAAATTATTCGTACGATGATGATTTAACGTTGATAAACATTGAAATATGTCTTCCTTTGATAAAAAGTTAATGGACTCGAGTTTACCTCGTTCTGAAATAACTACGATAATGAGAGAAAAAAAGAAAAAGAACTGTTTGTTGAAAAGATATGTGTTAGAAATAAAAAATATTATTAGACAAATTTTCCTCGATTCGTACCAGTGTCGTTGTTTAATACGAAAGGATTGTAAGCGTAGGTGAAATTTTGATCCTTTTCTGATAAGGGTAAGAAAACCAGGACGTTTAATATCTGACGTCTTAACCAAAACATTTTTAATGTGCGTTCGATCGTCACCTTGAATTTATTATCTTCGATTGAACCGTCATCTGAGATTATAAGTACGATGAAGTGTAACCGAGACATCCAGTGGGCTGACTCTTTTCCATTCAAAATTCGCTCCATCGAACGTTCGTCCTTTATCAGTATCACGTGCAACGACCATAGGTTGAAATTCTTTTTTGTCATCGTTTCTATACTATTATCTCTTCTTCCTCCGCTTGTTCTTTTTCTTTTTTTATTGCCTAAGTCGTTGAGAACTTTCAAGCTGTTAGTTCCAAGCGAATTCTTCGATGAAACTTTTTCGAACGTTAAAAGATCGATCTTATCGTTCCGTCTATAATTATTTTTGTTCCAAGGATTATCATCGATATAATACTTGTTTAAAAATATCGTAGTTTCGCATTTATTTTGATTTATACCACTTACGAGACCGTTTAAAAAAAGATTTAGATAATGGTTAGACGAATCGTTGGTTAATATTCCTAATATGTGAACAAATTTGATCGTTCGCGTATGACACAACGCGTCTATCCAAAACTTCATATTTTCATGTTTTTCTTCGTGAAATATTTTATAACCTTGATCAATTTTCACTCGTAAAATTATAATCGTAAGAATAATTATTTTGTACATCCTAGGATAATAATTTAATATTAGCGTATATTTTTTCCGTTAGATCTTTATCGTCATTTGTTATCTTTATCTTTTTATAAATGAAATTTCGCGTACTCCGTATTATCTTTTCTTTTCTTTTCTTTTCTTTTCTTTCTCCTATGTTTACTAAAGGAAGATATATCCTTTAAGACACTTTCTTTTCCTTCGTTATTACACTACGAAAGCTCGACTCGATGTGTGCTTATTTTGCACACCGTCACTTTTATTGACTCTTCAACCCTCCCTCGTTAAGCCCCACGTTTCTCCTCTTCGATCAAATCCTGAAGTACCATCTACCTTGTCATTACATTGAAACATTATTTTTATCGAGGATTTCACACTGGGAATATTGTCATCAGAAATAAATGTTTCTTATAGGAGATCGAAAGATTATTTAGGTTAAATTATCGCTTGATTATTTATTTCACTTCTCATTTCCGTTGATAAGCAAAATTCAATGATAAATGCATTACAATATTTTTTCATCAATTATTTATGTATTGTAAGGATATTCTTTGTGACAAAAATAACAATTTTCTGTTACGACGAGTTAGTACGTGGACATGTGAAAAAAAAAATTATGTTAATTTTGCGTTACGATGAGCATACACATTTGGTACGTAAAAGAAAAATTATTTATAAGGTTTTTATTAGGTCAATATTTTAAATAAATAATTATTATTTGTAATAAATATTAGAATTTAATATAAGTATCATACTCTGATTAATACAGAAACTGTTTGTATTTTAAATAAAATATCAATATATATTCTGTATCTATATTTGTAACTCTAAATTAACGCCAATATTTCAAATATTGATCGTCTATTTAAAATACTAAATAATTATAAATGGTACCGAGAAAAAATATTTACATGCATACATACATACATTTATATATACTTACCTTTAGTAATTATCTTTAGCTAATAAAAAATAAATAATCTTTTTCCATTCATCAAAAAGAACAAGTATTTTAATAAATATGTCGATTTGTCGAAATAAATAGATAATGGAACAAGTGCATTTTCGAAAAGGGAATCAAAATTAAAGGGTGTTACGTGCAATCTATCAGACGTTTTTCATTCGAACATCCACTTAGTTTAATTAAGGGTTAACGCCATTTCTAGCGCTCGGGAAAAAAGAACGTCTATTTTTTTTTTTTTTAGAATTCTTTATGGGGAAAAACGATAAGTGTAAAATTCGTTTAAAGAACTTTATCATATATACTTTCTACAAACAGGATGATTTTATATCCCTCCTTTTTATGAAGATTAAAAACGAACTTTCTTTAAACAAAGGAAAGCTTGATTAATCAAATTGTTTAAAGCCTTTCCATTTGCTAACTTTCTTCTCCTGTTTCTACTTGTTTCTATCATTCTCTCTACCTTTCTTCGAAATTCACGA